GACACGTCGTCGTCTTCTTCTTGTTGCTTTACGGCGGATCGCAGACTTATAAGTGCATAACCACCACCTATCTCTCAAATGGACCATTGACCCTCTATCTACAATCTCAATTAGGAGTGTCAATGGTCCATTTGAGAGATAGGTGGCGGTAATGGCGGTAAACTTGAAAAAGGTCCGCCGTTAGCTTTAGGTGGAGCATAACGAAAGTTCTCTGGCAAATCAGCAGTCTCACACACGAATTTAACCTTTTTCAAGTTTCATTGTGAACTTGCTAAATAAAATAGTAAAATGTAAAAACGCATCTATGCTTACGAGAAATCTTTAATCAAAAGAATCCCGTACATCCACATCTCTCGGTAAATAATCCATTGTGATTTGCAGTTATTACAGCCCAGAGCACAGCACAGCAGACTGACGGAATTGCAATTCGGTCCTACAAATGTCGGCCGCACCACTGTGTGACGTCACATGAAACCTATGAATATGTGGTTATTTGTGGGGTAACTGGAAAAGTTATACGAACAGATTTTTATATAAACAATTGTATTTTACATTTTTATAGAAATGTACAAATATTTTTTAAGCTTATATATATACACATGTTTATAATTGACACCAAACACTTAATAATAAAATAATAATAAATATTCATTTTAAACACATGCATTTTGTAATGCTTTGGGCTAATGTTTAGTAATTTCTCTAATCAAGAGACTTTTACTGCTGGGGACTGGTAAGCAAGGGATAGATTACACTGCCGTGTATTGCCATGGCACTGCACCAGCAGGTAAGGAGAAGTATGTGATATAAGTGGCCCTCAATGAAAGTGCTTCCCTTGAGGCGCTGTTGCTGCCCATCCTTAAAAGATGTTGTATTGCTGGTTGTGCCTCTGCTGGAACATTGGCCTGACATTCGTTGACTTCTTCATCACTAGCTTTCCACCGCAGAAAGTTGTGAAGTATACATGTTGCTTTAACAACATCCTCAGCCACCCCAGGAGAAACACCAATGATTCTGCGGTAAAGCCTCCACTGAGTGGTGAGGATACCAAAGGCACACTCCACTGTCTTTCTGGCATGTGACAAACGGATGTTGAATGCTCGTTGTTCTCCCTCTGTGTGTCCAGGATAGGGCCTCATTAGGTTTTAAGTTGAGAGTTCCATGACGTAGGGTTCCCCCATCACTGCTCCTATCAAAGGCTCCTACATCCACCACCCTGAAGCGCCAGTGTGAATCAACCACTGCCAGCAAGACAACTGAAAACGTAACCTTTGTAATTATAAAATTGTGATCCTGTGTTGCTCGGGGCTTGTATGATCACATGTTTGCCATATATAGCAACACAACAATTTCGAAAAGCCCAAAGCCGATGAAAGTCCTCCACAATTTCTTTCCAATCCTCTGCTGCTGGGGTGGGCATAAACTGGGGAACAAGACAATCCCAGATGGACCTGCTCACACTCTGTACAATGACTGCAACAGTGGAATGTCCAATCTTATAATTAAAAGCTATGGGATGGTAGGAGTCACCAATATCTGAAATGGGAATGTAAGAAACAAATAGTTATTTTTGGCACAAAGAATAATAATTAATAACTAATTATTTCTGTACAGTTTTGATGGATGGATAGATAGATAGATAGATTCACTATACTCACCGAAGACAAATACAGAGCCGCTGTGCAGGGGATATAGTCTCCCTGTAATTTGTCTCCATCTTTGTAATGCTGGGTCCTACCATGCTCAGGAGGTCTTCAAATTGCTGGGTAATAAGCCTAAAATACACTTTAAACTTAGCGCCATCTAGCTTCAGCTCTTGAACAAGCCGATGGTATTCCCCATATTTATGTCTGAGTGGGAGGGTGGGGTGAACCCAAACAGATCTCTGTCCTTTTGTTCTCTGAGCAGCAACACCATTTTTATCAATGTCAAATGCCATAGCCAGTGCAATTATTTTCTTTTTTTCCCCATGTCAAAATTCGTATCTATCAATTCTGCTTTTTGCCTATTTCTATTATTGTCGTTATTGCATCACATCCCTCGCGGAACCCTCGCATTCTACGCTGCGCTTTTTAAAAAACCATTCCTGATCGCTGCGTCTCACGTTTTTAGACGCGAAGACACTTTCTGTGTGAATGGCCCCCAATGCTACAATGACAAAGTAGCTTATGTTAAACATAAAACTTTTATGATCAGAACGAATACGACTGATGTACCCGCGTTGTAACACACATACATAAAAAACGTTTGGATTTTCCCCTTACTTTAAACTAATGCTTATGTCTTATAATTATTAATAAAAAGAACAGTCTATAGTCTACAATAAAATAGTACAATGACAAATTTAGCTATATTAATCTTTGAACTTTTATTAACAAAATGAATAAAGATATATTTTACCCTCATTTAACACAAATATGGATTTCCCCTTAGGCTACCTTAAAACGATCGTAGTTTGTGGTTTATTATCTTGTTAATTAAATTCGCATAGGTTATATTAAACATCTAACTTTTATTAACAAAATGAGTAAGATGGATATAGCCTTGCGTTGTAACCCAAATAAATAAGGTCTAAAGACACTCACTTATATTAAACAAAGAAATTTATGTTTTAACAAAAGTAGCGCTTTTGGATCCGCCATCATATGTCAATCTTCGCATTATACAACCCCCCCCCCTCAAAATACATTCCCGCAGCTATGTATAAAGATACTTAAAGGGATAGTTCACCCAAAAATGAAAATTCTGTCATTAATTACTTGATCGTGTAAGGACCCTTGCTGTCTATGGGAGGGTCTGAGAGCTCTCAGATTCCATCGAAAATATCTCAATTTGTGTTCCGAAGATGAACGGAGGTCTTACGGGTTTGGAACGACATGAGGGTGAGTAATTAATGACAGAATTTTCATTTTTGGGTGAACTATCCCTTTAATTATTAACTGGAAATATCATAAATGCTCTGTAGTTAATAGGGAATTGAGAGCACTCCACACTTGCTTATATAAGATCTATGTTGTTGATAACTTAAGGAATCTGTGATTAATCTTTTACAGATCTATGTAACACACTATTATAAAGATGGCATTTATTAAAGTGGAGAGTGAAGACATGAAGATTGAAGAAGCATTCAGAGTCAAACATGAAGATACTGAGGAACAAACAAAGATGGCGTTTATTAAAGAGGAGAGTGAAGACATGAAGATTGAAGAAGCATTCAGAGTCAAACATGAAGATACTGAGGAACAAACAGGTTGGTTTTCATTCTCAAAGCTGAACTCACTCATTTGATCCTTATTAAAATGCCCAACTCTACAGAAAGGATTTTGAAGAATGTCACATGAGTTTTGAAATTAAAAATGTTGTATTTGAAATGGAGCGGGTCTTTATGAATAATAAATAGGGTCTAACATTAATTATAATATATGAATTCATCTGTCTAATAAGGTCTAAAAATATAATAATTATGTCTACCAAGCTCTGATAATGTATGGAATATTATATTAACAGACTGTCCACATTTTAATAAAACAATAGGCCAATGTCACTTTAAAGGTATGGTTACCCAGGTTGTTATAAATCTGCATAAAGTTCTTTCTTTCTGTTGAACACAAAAGAAGATACTTTGAAGAGTGTAGGTAACTAAACAGCTTCTGGTCCTCAGTAGGTGCGTTTCCATTACAGATTTGCGCAAAACTTTGGCGATATTTGATAAAAGTCAATTAAAAAGTATTGCGAAATGATGGCGTTTCCATTAACCAATGTTATGCGACTAAAACGTAACCTTTTGCCTCTCGCGATAAGTCCATTGCAGTTTTGAGAATTATTCCTTTTTTGCATTGCCTGAAAAACCACCTCATGCGAGCGTAAAAACCTTTTTGCGATATATGGGCGTTTTTGCGAAATTGACGCGTTTCCATTAGGCGTATTTTCAATTCGCAATTTCAATTTGCGCAATTTGAAGGGTAATGGAAACGCGCCTAGTAACTTCCATAGTAGAGAAAAAAAATACTATCAGAGTCATTGGAGACCAGAAACTGTTTGGTTACCCACATTCTTCAAAATATCTTCTTTGATGTTCAACAGAAGACAAAAATTATTATAGGTTTGGAACAACTTGTGGGTGTGTAAACGATGACAAAGTGTTTTGACAGTCCACCGTGAGCAACTGAAAGCTTCTCTGCAAACTGCGCGTTCATCATTAGTTACCGGACAGAGCCATTGATAACTTTCCCATTCAGCCCTACATTTGGAGAGCCTTGTGTTCAAAGGGCAGATGTGAGCTCCTGATGTTTTAAACTGCGCATGTTTAGCGCATGCTGCTTTAACGGCGCGCGATCTGTAGTCTCCGTTGCTATGGAAACAAAGACGCCAAAATGCAATCACGCGCAAATGGGCTTCTCTAATACTTAATTTGAAATTTCATTATAATTGCTATTAGTATTATAAACAGTGCAAAATACTTATTTGTTGATTCAACTTTGGCCTTTGTAAAATACAGGAAAAATTGTAAAACATAATTTTACCTTTAAATATGGGACGATTCCATACTTTTAGGGAAGGGTGGCAACCAGGGGCGGCGTTTCCGTATAGCAGTTGCCATACCCTAGCCCAGTCAGATGTGCCGTGAAAAATTATCCAAACTTCACATCTCTATTATAATTCGTTATTATTAAATAATAAAAATCAGAGGGTTTTACAAATATTTAACCAATGCTAAGTATTACAAAGGGCTTCTCAGTAAAACTTCGTAACGCTATTGGATCCTCAAGCTCTCAGCGAAACCTCGTAACTTCACCCCGCCT